TTCCCGTGCTCCCAATTTGCTCAGGAGATCTTGACCCTTTCCCCTTCTCCAAGGCACCATGTATGTCTCTCTCAGGGTCCTCCTTGTTTACTAGCTTCTCTGGCAGTGTGGATTGTAGGCTGCTAATCCTTTACTCTATGTCTAAAATCCACATATGAGTAGAGTAATACCCTGTTTGTCTTTTTGTGATTGGGTTACCGCGCTCAGAATGCTTTCTTCTAGTTCCATCCATTTTCCTTCAAATTTCAAGATTCCATTGTTTTTTTTTTTCATCTGATAGTACTCTATTATGTAAATGTACCACATTTTCTCTATCCATTCTATAGTTGAGGGGAATCTAGACTGCTTCCAGTTTCTGGCTATTACAAATTGTGCTGCTATGAACATGGTTGAATAGATGTCCTTGTATGAATGTGCTTCTTTGGGTATATACCTCAGAGTGGAATTGCTGGATCTTGTGGTAGATTGATTCCCATTTTCTTGAGGAGTCACCATACTGATTTCCAAAGTGGCTTTACAAGTTGGCACTCCCACCAGCAGTGGAGAAGTGTTCCCCTTTCTCCACACCCTCTCCAGCATAAACTGTCATTGGTGTTTTTGATTTTGCCCATTCTGACAGGAGTAAGATGGTATCTCAGAGTTGTTTTGATTTGTTCTTCCCTGATGTTTAAGGATGTTGAACACTTTCTTATGTGCCTTTCAGACATTTTAGATTCCTCTATTGAGAATTGTCTATTTAGTTTTGTACCCCATTTTTTAATTGGATTGTTTGGTGTTTTGGAGACTAGCTTCTTGAGTTCTTTGTATATTTTGGAGATCAGCCCTCTGTCAGATGTGGGGTTGGTGAATATATTTTCCCTGTCTGTGGGCTGCCATTTTTGTCTTACTGACTGTGTCTTCTGCCTTACAGAAACTTCTCAGTTTCAGGAGGTCCCATTTATCAATTGTTGATTTCAGTGTCTGTGCTACGGATGTAATGTTCAGGAAGCAATCTCCTGTACCAAAGAATTCAAGGGTAGTTTCCACTTTGTCTTCTAATAGGTTCTGTGTGGCTGGATTTATGTTGAGGTCTTTGATCCATTTTGACTTAAGTTTTGTGCATGGCAAAAGACTTGGATCTATCTGCAGTCTTCTACATGCCTGCATCCAGTTATGCCAGCACCATTTGTTAAAGATGTTCTCTTTATTCCATTGTATAAATTTAGATTCTTTGTCAAAAATCAGGTGTTCGTAGGTGTGGGGGTTAATATCAGTGTTTTCAATTTGATTCCATTGGTCTACCTGTCTATTTTTGTGCCAATACCAAGCTGTTTTCAGAACTATAGCTCTGTAATAGAGCTTGAAGTTAGGGATGGTGATGCCCCCAGAACTTCCTTTATTGTACAGGGTTGCTTTTGGCTATCCTGGGTTTTTTGTTTTTCCATATAAAGCTGAGAATTGTTCTTTCAAGGTCTGTGAAGAATTGTGTTGGGATTTTGATGGGGATTGCATTGAATCTGTAGATTGCTTTTGGCAAGATTGCCATTTTTACTATGTTGATCCTATCTATCCAAGAGCATGGGAGATCTTTCCATTTTCTGGTATCTTCTTTAATTTCTTTCTTTAGAGACTCAAAATTCTTACGGTACAGGTCTTTCACTTTTTTGGTTACTGTTACCCCAAGGTATTTTATATTGCTTGTGGCAATTGTAAAGGGTGATGTTTCTCTGATTTCTTTCTCCACGAATGTATCATCTGTATATAGTAGGGCTACAGATTTTTTTGAGTTAATCTTGTATCCTGCCATTTTGCTGAAGGTGTTTATCAGCTGTAGGAGTTCCCTGGTAGAGTTTTTCAGATCACTCATGTAGACTATCATATCATCTACTAATAGTGAAAGTTTGACTTCTTCTTTTCTGATTTGTATCCCCTTGATCTCCTTTTGGTTCTTATTGCTCTAGGTAGAACTTCAAAGACATTATTAAAGAGGTATGGAGAGAGTGGACAGCCTTGTCTTGTCCCTGATTTTAGAGGAATTGCATTGAGTTTCTCTCCATTTAATTTGATGTTGGCTGTCGGCTTGCTGTATCTTGCTTTTATTATCTTAAGGTATGTTCCTGTTATCCCTGATCTCTCCAAGACCTTTATCATGAAGGGGTGTTGGATTTGTCAAAGCCTTTTTCAGCATCTAGTGAGATGATCTTGTGGGGTTTTTTTTGCCTCAGTCTGTTTATATGATGGATTACATTAATGGATTTTCATATATTGAACCATCCTTGCATGCCTGGGATGAAGCCTACTTGATCATGGTGGATGATTTCTCTAATGTGGTCTTGGATTTGATTGCCAGTATTTTATTGAGTATTTTTGAATCAATATTCATGAGGGATATTGGTCTACAGTTATCTTTCTTAGTTGTGTCTTTGTGTGGCTTGGGTATCAAGGTTATTGAAGCCTTATAAAAAGTTTTTGGCAATGACCCTTCTGTTTCTATTGTGTAGAATACTTTGAGGAGAATTGGTATTAGCTGTACCTTGAATTTCTGGTAGAATTCTGCACTGAAGCCATCTGATCCTGGGCTTTTTTTGGTTGGGAGACTTCTGATGACTGCTTCTATTTCATTAGGGGTTATAGGTCTATTTAAGTTGCTTATCTGATCTTGATTTAATTTTGGTAAGTGAAATCCGTCCAGAAAATTGTCCATTTCCTTTAGAATTTCGAATTTTGAGGAATATAGGTTTTCAAAGTATGACCTGATGATTCTCTGGATTTCCTCTGTGTCTGTTGTTATGACCCCCTTTTCATTCCTGATTTTATTGATTTGCATGTTCACTCTCTGCTGTTTGGTAAGTTTGGATAAAGGTTTGTCTATCTTGTTAATTTTTTCAAAGAGCCAACTCTTATTATATTGATTCTTTGTATTGTTCTCCTAGTTTCCATTTTATTGATTTCAGCCCTTAATTTGATTATTTCCTGGCATCTGCTCCTCAGGGGTGTATTGGCTTCTTTTTGTTCTAGAGCTTTTAGTTGTACTGTTAATTCTCTCGTGTGGTTATTCTCCTGTTTCTTCATGTGGGCACTTAGCACTATGAACTTTCCTCTTAGTACTGCTTTCAAAGTGTCCTATAGGATTGGGTATGTTGTGTCCCCATTCTCATTAAATTCTAGGAAATCTTTAATTTCTTTTTTATTTCTTCCTTGACCCAGGAATTGTGCATAGTTTGGTGTCTTTATGGGACTCCTAACAGGGGGAATAGGAGTGTCTCTGACTCTTTTGCCTGGTCTTGGGATCCTTTTCCTCTTACTGGCTTGCCTCTTCCAGTCTTGATTAGAGGGTTTGTGCCTAGTTTTATTATAACTTGTTATGTCATGTTCAGTTGATATCCCTGGGAGGTCTGCCCTTTTCTGAAGGGAAATGGAGGGGTGGATCTCGGAGAGAGGGGAGTGGAGTGGAGAAAGGGGAAACTGCAGTACATATATGTAATGTATGGGAGTAAGGAAAGAGCAAGGAAAGATACCCTTAATAGAGGGATCTGCTATGGGCTTAACGAGAAACCTGGCACTAGGAAAATTTCCAGGAATTCACAAGGATGACCTCAACTAACAATCTAAGCAATAGTGGAGAAGCTACCTTAAATGCCCTTTCCCTATAATGAGATCAATAACTACTCTACATGCCATCACAGAGCCTTCATCCAGTAACTGATGGAAGCAGAATCAGAGATCACAGATAAGCACTGAGCCAAACTCTTGGAATCCAGTTGTAGAGAGGGAGGAGTGATGAGCAAAGGGGTCAAGACCATACTGGGAAAACCGATAGAAACAGCTGACCTGAGCAAGTGGGAGCTCACTGACTCCAGACTGACAGCTGGGGAACCAGCATAAGACCGAACCAGGCTCCCTGAACATGGTGTCAGCTGGGAGGCTTGGGCAGTTTATGGGGCCACTGGTAGGTGTTCAGGGGTTATGTGCCAGTCAGAGACACAGCCATGTGGGAGACAGGTACACACACAATCTGGGAAGGAGTCTGGAGGAGAGTTAGAGAAAGGGGAGAAAGATGGGAAGACAGGAGACATTGCAGTATTTATCTCTCCTGCACGAATGAGCTTTGGGAGCCCATTCCCTATGGAGCGATACTCTCTCAGCCTAAATACACAGGAGATGGCCTAGGTCCTAACCCAGATGATGTGACAAACTTTGATGACCCCTGGGAGGCTTCACCCTCCCTGAAGAGTGGATGGGGGTTGGATGAGGGTTTGGTGGGGGGCATGGGAGGAGAGAGAGAGAATTAGGATGAGTTTGTAAAATAAGACTGTTTTTAATATAAAAATGAATTTAAAAATAAATTTTTCAAAGAAGAAAGATAATTGATAAAAGAAAATGAATTTATTTACAGTTAGATCAAAACAAGACAAATGCTACTGGTTTTCCTCCATTTTTTTGGTAGCAGTGTTATCATTTTATAGAAAAAATATGAAGCTAACACCGGGAAATCTGCATATGTTAATTTAACCACAAAATAAGCTTTCAGAACTGTGTGAAGTCACCTCTTATGAGTCAAGTTCTTCTAGTTGACACCAAGAATATTAGCCTTATTTTACTCCCAGCATAGGATTTCTAGGGACATTTTAATTCCTCTGGGTTTATTGATTCAGTAGCCTGACAATCATAAGGAGGGACACAGGTGTCTCCCTCTAAAGTATCTATTCATCCGTGGGGCAATGGTCATAAAGGGTAAACAGCTTGGAGGACAGGCAGATGTTCAGGGGTTATGTGGCCAGTCAGAGACACAGCCAGGTGGGAGATAGGTACACACACAATCTGAGAAAGAGTCTGGAGGAGAGTTAAAGAAAGGGCAGAAAGATGGGATGACAGGAGATGTTGCAGACAGCAGAGAAGAAGGAAGACAGGGGTCAGAAAGAAAACAAAACAAATACAGATAACTCAAGAACAAAACCAGGTGGTATACAGTAAGTAATGCCAGTAGCTGGCCTCCAAAGCTATCCTCTTCTCCACTGGTGTTATTTCAGCTTCTTGAGACACAGATAGATCCCATTCTTGGACTTTAGCACAGTTCTTGTCTTGAGGACTGGGACCCTGGTGGGATCTGACAGCAGCTCAAAGCGGAGCAGGGTCAGGGCCACAGCCACCTTCAATTCACTCATGGCAAACTGTTTCCCAATGCAGTTTCTGGGCCAGGTAGAGACAGTGAATTAAGATCTTGCCCCAGATCCATTCTTAGTTCATCAAGCATTGGCCCATGAGCCTCAACCAGAGCTGGGCATTAGGGTCCGGTCCTCCTTCATGATCCTAGCCTGACTCCTGATTTTTGACAAAGCCTTTCTTTCACTCTTCTGGGACTAGTTCTGACCCTAGTACTGCTCTCAGACACATGGTATATCATTTGAATAGTTCCAGCACTGTGGAGCACAGAGTCTTTTAATGAGTTAACAGTTAGTCAATTCCCCACTAACAATTTCCGAATCTTCAGCCTGAATTCTCCAGTTTGGGGCAATATGCTAAGGGTTGGGTCATATTCCTGGACATTATTATCTCCATGTGAAATGTACAAATGATTGTAGCACAGGAGTTAAATATTAGTGAAGAGTTTCAAAACATCGTCCTGGTGTTCCTCAAGCTGCTCCCTAAATCTTCAGGCTCAGATTCACCCATTAGTCCTTCAAACCACCAGCATCTGCAGTCATATAACCACACTCTTGAAAGGCTGCCTTCTGCCATCCACTGGCCACACTGTTTTGTTTTGTTTTGTTTTTTAAGCTGGTTAAGATGAAATTCTTAGCCCTGGGTACACTTTATCCAAAAAGTGTTCCTTCCAGTGAAGGACCATACATCTAACTTACTCTATGGAAGTTGATTCAGCATTGTAGAAGTCACAGATTATTGAATCAGAAAAACATACTTTGCACCCATTAATTATGTGGTTTTAGCTATTTGTGTTCTACAGGACGAGTCCTGTAGACTTTGTGGATTTCCACAGCAGCCCTTTACCACTTGTCTCACCCAGTAGCTTGCCATTGTACATACCAGCATCATGCAGAGGGATTTCCTCAGGAGCAGTATAATGTCCTCATTACTGTTTGCCACCATATTCCTAGGCAAACCAAGCCTGCTTACTAAACCCCTTCCCTCGTGCATAATTTTTCGAACAGGGAAACTATGTACAAATTGTCAGAATTTTTATATGCAGTGAATTTTTGTAAGGCTACAAGCCAAAATTGTGTGAGATCATCACTGTCCAACGTACAATGATGTGTGAACTTTCACATATATGACTTTAACAGAAGGATCAACAATGCTCTGGATTTTCAGTATATTGAAATACAGTATGTTACCTAAATGTCACATGACAATATTAAATACATGTACTTTATATGTGTTTCATATATATAAATGAGTACTTATAAATTCATTGTAGTATCTAATTGTTGAATTAATTGAAAAAATATGGTGGGCTATAGTAAGGATTTGAGGGAAGAAATTATCCCATCAAGATTTCTGACAATTGAAAAGACTGCTTCAAAGTTGGTTCACATGAAATTCTGAAATTTTGATATTCAAAAATAAGGGAAATAAGAAAATATACTAGTTTTTGACACAGATTATTTTTAGTGGCCATGGTGCAGTGGGCTAAAATCTCAGGTATGTACTGAAATGCCTTCTTCCTTTTTGTCACATGGGTGTTTGTGACCTGGGCCGGTTCACCCCTCCCTAGGCAACCTGGTGGTCCCCTACTCCCAGGAGGCTACCATACTGAGGTAGAACTCAGTGTGGACACCCAATTGGCATAGTGCATTATAGCCCAGAACTCCTGGACTCAAGTGACTCTCCTGTCTCAGTCTCCCTAGTAACTGGGACTACAAGCATGCACCACCACAGCCGGCCCTGTTTCCTTTTTGAAACAAACACACATGTAATCTGAACACATATGTCAACAGTTGTGTAAACAGACCTCAGAGAGCCCTAAACAATCAGAAATATCAAATACGGGCATACGCCAGTTATGTACACTAAACCATTCTCCTTACCTTCTTCCTCCTGAGAAGGGCAGGAAGGCATATTTATGCCTGGCAGCATCTGGTGCAAATCTAGAAGGATCAAACACCTGTGGAGAGAGCATGAGGGCCAGGATAGATGGAGTTAAGGCCCTGTTTCCAATGCATAAAAAGACAAAATGCCTAGATTAGAAAGTGGGAGAGCCTCCTCCTTTCCCAGGGTTTTCATACCTCTGGGTTTGGCCACACTCTTGGGTTATGGTGAAGGCCATATAAGGAGAGAGTAATCAAGAAACCTGCAAGGAAGAAAGGACATAGAGGGGAAGGTAATTACGTCAAAGATGTAGGACTTTAGACCCTCAGGAAATGAGGGATGCAAATACACAAATGGTTTGCATAGATTAGTCATCACTGAGTAAAATGTTCCTATTGGGGATGAGCTGAGTATAGAATCCATTAGAAAATCATGCACCTAGCCATAACAGACACCAATTATGAATCGAGGGTGTCTTGCTTATGATAAACTTACAAATGAATATACATAGTCAGCCTTCCACTGGTTTCTGTGAATATACATTAGCTCATATAACACTCATAAGACCCTTGCCCAGCCAAGGAAGACATTGTTTTATATTCATTTTCAGAGTCTCAAGGAGGCCAATTATCTTTCTTAGGTTTGTGCAGCTTGGGTGTGTCAGAGGTGAGATCATGCCTAGTGGTGAGTTACTTAATTTGTGTTTCACTATCATAATAGGAAACTCAGATCTTAACATCATCTCTCTTCTTCAACAAGTTAGAAGTTTCTGAGAAGCAGTTATATTTAACACATAGCATGGGATTCCATTATCTCTCTCATTTGCATTCACTCACAAACAAAACTTCATCTCCACAAGGACTTGTCTCATTCCTTTTCATCCCTGCTTTTTTTTTTTTAATTAATGGAAATTTCAGGGCTGAGAATGACATTTAACTAGTGGGTCACATTTATTCCTCAAAACATTGCAGAAGAAAGTATTAGTATCTGGGATGTTATAGCCTTCTTCTAGCTTCAAAGTAAAGTTCCAATATACTAAGAACTGAGAGACCAAGTGAGGTTAAGAACAGCAGAAACACGTGATTGCATACCAGAGTGGGTCTGGGGTGTTCATACCTTTGGGTAAAGAGCGTCCATCTGGGAAGGTGACAGGTGTGCTGAGCTCTCTTCCTATAGCTGGCACAGGTGGGTAGAGCCTCAGGGCCTCCTTGATGCACATGGTGGTGTAGGGCATCTGGGACAGGTGGTTCCTGAAATGAGGCCCATCCTGAAAAGTCACACACATCTGGGAAGACTAGAAGGTCTCTCCTATAAGAAGACAGGGAGGGGTCTCCTTCATCTTCACTTTTTCTCACCAGGTGACAGAGGTTCCATCACCCAATACATTCTGCACCTCCTCTCTGCATCTCTGTTGGTGCTCAGGGTTGGTGGCCAGAGCATATAAAATCCAGGATATTCCACTGGCTGTAGTGTCATGGCCCTCAAACATGAATGTATCCACCTCTGCACGCAGGTCCTCATCAGACAAGCTTTTTCCATCCTCTGTCTGGATGAAGTCACAGGTGAGAAAACAGAGTTTTCCTACCATCTTGTGACTCTGGACCAACCTCAGCCCTGCACTCCTACTTACTTGAGCAAACAAGAGGATGTCCAAGAAATCCAAGAGTCTCTTCTTCTGGACGTTCTCCAACTCTTCCTCATTCTGCAGCTGAGCCTTCCTCATACTGATCATTCTATCTGTCCAAGGACAACAGTTACCAGCCAGATGTAAACATTAGTGCAATGTAAATATTCCAGACTCTACAATCTCTGTGTACAGCAGAGCCCAGGATGCATGTAAGCATAAGTATTTGGATCAAGATTAAGAGTCTAGTATCATATTACATAGGCTATGTCTCCATTCAGATTCACAGCCCACAGAAATCATGGTAAACATTGTCCCATGGGTCTCACAAAGCATCACTAATGTTTTCCCTGGAAAGTATTTCATGCTAATACCATAGCTCTTCACATACAAATGTGTACCATGTCCTACAGAGAGAGCTGGTAGACTGAGCCTGAGGGATGTGATCTTATTTTTGTGATGAGCCTGAGAAACAAAGAGAGACTGGACGGGCAGGAGAACAGAACCTGTGTATTCATGGGCAACCTGACAGGCACGGTAGAATGAACGACCATTAGAGGACAGATTGTAGATGATGTTACTCTGGTGAAAGGCATTCCTCATTCTTGAGTAAATCCTTTCCGTCAGTTCTTGGACAGCCTCAGAGTAGGATCTGACATTTCTGTACCTAAAAGGCACAAAATATTGGTGACAGTGATACCTGATTCACAGACAATAGTAAGGTATCTAGATATTCCCTCAGTTGTGGAAACACACACACTTCTGTCTTATGTCAATTTTGATCCTTAAGCTTTTGAAGATGGGTGAACACCCAGGTGCTATGGAATATTCCTTTACACTGTGTGAACATATGTCACTGTGATTGGTCTAATAAAGAAACTGATTGGCCAATAGCTAGACGGGATAAAGTTAGGCAGGAAAAAAAAAAAAAAAACAAAGGACATGAAAGAAGAAGGGCAGAAGGCCAGCTGCTGAGGAAGCAGGACATGTAGAAAATGAGGTAACAAGCCATGAGCCACATGGTAGAGGATAGATAAGAAATATGGGTTAATTTAAAATGTAAGAGCTAGTTAGTAACAAGCCTGAGCTGTCAGTCAAGCTTTTATAATTTATATTAAGTATCTGAGTCGGTTATTTAGGAAGTGACTGCTTGTTATTTGGGAGCAGGCAGTCAGGACAGAAAAACTCTGTCTACACTCAGGCTTATGCACTTGCTATTGTTCCCATGGGTTCTTGTTTGGTATCTGTATTGGGTCTGGTTTGGAGTTTAACTTGGCCCAGAGCTGCGTCAGAACCTTGCTTTTTTGTGGTTATGAGCATCTGAGCTGTCCCCATAAAATGCCTTCAAGTACGTTCACAACAGTTGGTTACACCAGAGATTCCGAAGTTCAATGGTTGTTACTCACTCATCCAACTGGACGCTACCCTGGTAACTGAAGGCACACTTCATGATTATCTCCAGGGTCATTAAGGAGATGTGTTGATAAATCTCCAGAGGGCAGTCATGGACAATAAATTGCTCCCACTTGTCCTGTGATAAGAATGAGAAGTTACCTTATTTTCTACTAAATACCCGTGTTAAAGAGACTGTGGTCTTTCTCTGAATCTACAGATAATCTGATCAGAATCTCACATCTTTGAGATCAGGAAAAAAACATCTTGAGGCAAAGTTTTGTAATAATCTGTTGTCTGTTGGTTACAAACGTTTAACAAAACTGAATACATATTTTCTTGATGTCAGATTGTGTTTTTCACTTTTGAAAATAATTATGACCTTTCAGTTGATGAAATGGGGACACACACACACACACACACACACATTTGCGTGTGAGAGAAAAAATGTGGGACTGGAAGAAAGCCTTCCGGCCTCCAGGAATATGCCTTATCAAGACGATCACAGACTTTAATTTCTTCTCACTTATCAAAAAAATTCTGAGCATGGTGAAATTAGAAATCGAGATGATATGGATGGTAATGACACAGAATACTTGGGTAGAAAGATGCTGGCCTTGAGTCACTCAAGATATCCAGGACAAAACTTGATTTTGTGACATCCTTGGAAGTCCTTTCAGACAGTGAAGCTGCCATTGCTCAAGTCACTCTGGAACTTATAGTCATGCTGTCTGCTGAGATTCCATTGTGGTAAAAACTTTGTTCTATAATCACTGTGATGCTCTCTGTCTTGGAAAATAATTCCAGTATGGCTTGGCCCTGCTTATGGTGACCTCTCTGTTTATCTACATTGAGGAAATTCACTAGTAATGCCATGAGTGCTATTCCATGTGACTGTATGTAATAGGTATGGTCAGGCCAGTGGGGGCGTTGAGTCATATATACCTTGAATACTTTATGGATATGAGAAAGGAAGAATAGAGGGAGGTAAAGAGGAAATAAAATGATATGGAAAGAGGGGGTTATAGATTGGCAGATATTTATCTCTCTATAAATATAAATAGATAGATGATAGATAGTCAGATACACAGATACTCACTAGCATCACATGGACAGAGTCCACCATGATTCCCACATAAGGCTTAAGGCTATCATAGTGGAATGCTGGCGTTAACATCTTCCGGTGTTGAGACCACTTCTTCCCCTCCAAAATGAGCAAGCCATAGCCTGGATCAGAGATATATATACAGATTTGTTAAAGAAAGAAAGAATCAGAGACCCTTGGGACAATTTGGAAGGAACTTTGGTTTAAAATATGCAAAACAACCCCAAAGAAGGTAGAATTTCTTGGACAAGGGCATAAATGGCACAATGCATTTCAGAAATGGAAGTCGTACAAATAGGGTGGTATGGTTGCTGTGATCGTGACAGCTGTGAGATGAATACTGAAAAACAGTCATGAAGAACAGAAGAGCCAATTGGAATTTCAGAGGAGCAATATGCCAAAAGTTAAACTTCAGGTGAGCTCAACATTAGGGAGGAATGAGTCTCTGGCTAGAAGAAGAGAAATAAGACTTGATTTGGGGAAAGATCATGACAGAGACCACAGGATTCTGTTACCCTATGATGCAGAGACAACTGTTGGGACAGTTAAGTGGGTAGTGTCCCAGTCCCAGTTGAGACATACATACCAATCCAGGGAGCGAAGAAACTGTATGAATGCACAGGCTTTGGATCTGCAAGAGAAGAATGATGTGACCAGAACAGCTAACTGAAGATCAAATAAAACAGCTCCAAACAGGCTGTTTTTCAGACTCTGGCTGCCATAAACTCCTGATGACTTTCTGTGGCTGTTTTATACCCCTCATTTCATCCTTTTCTATCCCAAGTCTCACAGCTGTGCTTAGAAAGCAGGCAGGCTCTACTGTACCAGCAGCCGAGTGTTTGTTTCTGTCACTGTGATGTTCAGAAAGAAACACAAGTCATGTCCTCAAAGAGAGCTTTATGGTTCTTCTGTAGTTAGTTGTGGCTTAGTAATTCTATGACCCCAGAAAGTCAACAACTGGAGCTTTAAAATCTAAGTCATTGTGCACATGTGGGTTATACCAAGGAGAATTATTAACAGCACTTAGAAATTGATGACTGGGAGCACAGGAAACACAAACAAACTACACCATGGTGAGTCACAGCCAATGACAAAGCTCTAAAGCAGTCAGAGAAAGAAGCCACAGAGAGAGAAATTCATGAAGGGGCTGTCTCACAGAAAAGAATGCAAATGAGGAAGATGGTAGAAAGGAGGGAGGGAAGGAAGAAAGGAAGAAAGAAAGGAAGAAATTGATGACTGAAGTTCCATGCTTTTCTAGAATTTCACAGACCCAGGTTGTAAATCCTGCAGAACCTAACTACTGCAGCTACAATGGGGTTTGCACTCACCTGATCTCCCCAGAATCACTTTCATGTAGTCAGGGTCATAGATTACAGCATGTGCTTTGTTCCCCCAGAACCACCTTGAGCAGGCACTTGGGAATTTCTCTACCCATAAAAGTGTTTGCTGGAGGTCCTGATCCTTTGGGAATAGACACACAAAAAGAAATAATCATGTAGTTATTCCTTTACTATAAGGGAGCAGAAAAGAAGGACATCCACAAGCAGAAAGTGGGGGTCAGATCAGCTTGATGATCTGTCTGCATTATCATCCAGACCTTTGCTTAGGATATGTCTTCACTAGATTCTGTAGCCTTGGATGGAGCTCTTCTCCTCAGAGGAGATAATAGAGTAAGAGCTTCAACCCTTGGTAAGAGCTCCACATACTCTTTCTATTCATAAGTTTGGTCAGTGCACAAGTCTTGCTGAGTGCCTTTCTGTACAGCCACTTACCAAACAGTGTTCTTTAACAGAGCTGGAGATAGAGGAGCAAGGTGATACCCACCCCTATCCTTCAGTCATTTGTACGACTTCATATGTATGTCCCAGGTTCTGTGCTAGGCACTGGTGTACAGGATATGTTGTTCTTGGTGGCTAGGAGCTCATAGGATTGGGTGTGTGTAATAAAGCACAAAGTTAAATCAATCCTGATTAATAGGGCAGTGCTCACATCAGTCCTCTCACTTGTATGTAAGATTGTCCCCCCCCCAAGTCATCACTTCCAGAAATTACCTCAGTCTTGAGCAAACATACCCACTTGTTTCCTGTTACCTGACATCATTCCCCAGAAAGAAAGGTGGGTTCTGGATTTTTTTTTAATGCCTTGACATATTTGAGATACGTGTATTGACAACAAATCAGCCCTCAGCAAGAGTCTGTGCACTTATCTCACAGGAGGTAAATTGAGTAGACCTCAGAGATCATATGCTTATCCTACAGCAGGCTTCATCTTCTTACCTTTAGGTGGTTCCCAAAAAGCCAGTGGGAGGGTGTGGATGGGAACTCCTGGAGGCACTTGAGGAGCCATTGTCTGTGCAGGTAGTATTGGACTGCTTTGTATAGCAGCAGCAGTAGGCCAAGCAAGGAGATCACTTGGAGGAATCCAGAGATACTAAACATGTTTATGATGTGGCTCAGCCAAAGAAACCCACAATGTAATGGCCTGTAGATTACTGACTGTTGCTGAATTCCCTGACACCGACATTTAAGTATTGTGTAATCTGTCCCACCCCTCTGTGGGAGGGAAAAAGAAGAGGTCAAACACTGGACCCAGGATCCAGAGGTAATTAATCAAAATGATCCACTTCTGATTTGAGCTTGGGACTCATCAGACCACATTTACCTACAGTCTTATTGTTACTAGCAGGCACCTTGTAGAATATATGTCTGCAAGTCTACAACAGCTCTGTGGGTTCCTAGGCTTCAGAAAACAAAGGTTCAAATCCCAAAGGAGAGGCAGTTCTCTTCTGTTGAATCCTGGTTCTCATAGCGGATTCTTGGATCTCTTCAAGCATACACAGGCTGCCCACTCAATACACCTTAACGTGGCCAGTGTCCGCATCTCCCTATATCACACAGTAAGCATGATCATTCCTTAGAGCTGCACAGTTCAATCTTTTCCTTCCCTCTTCCTCTCAATAACCTTTATTGTTCACTTACAGTATTGGTAATCTGTTTATGCTTACCGTGTGTATAGGTGGGCACGTTCATCTGAGTGTTGATACCCAGGGAGGCAAACAGTGTCAGATCCTCTAGAGTTAGAATTATGGTCCTCTGTAAGAGGAGTAAGAACTCTTAACCACCAAGTCATCTCACCAGCTCCTCAAATAGACATTTTTTTTGCCTTTCTGAGTTTTTTCAAAATCTTCTTATTTCTCTATGGACTCACCACTCTCTCATCTCTGGTGTTAAATAAATCTTGTGTCCATAAGACACAGTCTGTCTGAATGCTCTCTGACATGTACGAGACCTTACAAAAGATTTATTAGCTGCCCTTGGGAATAGTCATGGTATATTATATTGGATTATTAAGGTGGCTTTGAAGGTGATGGAAACTTTCTTAGGGAAGAGGTAGGGGTCCAGAAACTTAAGGCTACCAAACCACCTCAAGTCAGTGATTTTTGGGTTCTTGTCTCCCAGATATGAGGAATAAAATTCATAGGCCAAGAGGATGAGGTTTAGAGTTTTTTTTTTTAATAATGAGCTTCAAAGGAAAGAAGGGAGACAAAGACAGAGAGACAGAGAAAGAATAGTTTGCATATAGAAGGAAGGTTATCATCAAGCTGTAATCTGAGGGTTTTTTTTAAGGACTTATGGAAGATACCAAGATGAGGTGTGGGGAGAGGCTGAGGCCAACCAGGTGTCCAGTGTCCCCTCTCACTTCCAGACACATGCTCACATACAGCCTTCAGGCAGAAGTACTCACTAGGGGATAACTAAGGGAAAGGAGCCAACATTCCCGAATTCCTAGCCTCCAGCAAGGATTCATATTCTTATTTTCTGAATGTCTAATAGGTGCAGTTATTTGTTTATTATCATGACTTCAGGGGTGAAGATGAATAAGTAAGTGTGTCTAGCTGAATATAGTCATTGAAGGTCCAAGAGTTTGCATTGGACTCCAAACAAACTTTTTGTGATATGGATATATTGTGTTTGCCCTGTGGCTGGTGGCCACTTTCATTTTTTCTTTTTTACTTTTTTTTGCAGAGTTTTTTATTTGAATTAGAAACAAGATTGTTTTACATGGCAATCCCAGTTCCCTCTCCCTCCCGTCCTCTCCTGCCACCCTCCCCAACTAAAACCCTACCTATCACATATCCTTTCTGCTCCCCCTGGATGGTGAGGCCTTCCATTGGGTGACATCAGAGTCTATTGTATCCTTTGGGATAGGCCTAGGCCCATCCCTGTGTGTCTTCACCCCTGTGTGTCTTGGCTCAAGGAGTATTCCTCTATATGGAATGGGCACCCAAAGTCCACACCTATGCTAGGGATAAGTATTGAACTACTACAGGAGGTCTTGTAGATGTCTAAGGTTTCCTCACTGAAACCCATGTTCCTGGGCTCTGGATCAGTCCCATGCTAGTATCCCAGCTATCAGTCTGAGGAACAGGAGTTACCCAATGTTCAGGTCAGTTGTTTCTGTGGGTTTCACCAGCCTGGTCTGGACCTCTTTGCTCTTGACTCATCCTTCTCTGCAACTGGATTCTAGTTCAGTTCAGTGATGAATTGTGGGTGTCTGCTTCTACTTCCACCAGCTGCTGGATGAGGGCTATTGGGTGGCATATAAGTCAGTCATCAATCTCATTATCAGGGGAGGGCATTTAAGGTAGCCTCTCCTCTGT